CTGACGTCCCCCATCTTAATCTAGACCGACTGTGTACCCTTTCTGTGCCGTACAGCAACACTCCTTAACAACAGACTGCTGAGGGCGGCAGTGCACACAAATACCGGGCGCGAAGAGTTCTTCGCCAGCTGACCCTGTGCCGTCGAAATTGGAGGAAAACGGCAACTGCCTAGCCCCCCTCCCTCCCCTCCTCCGCCGGATGCCCGCTGTGCAGACGCCGTAGACGCCATGAGGTCCGAGTCAAACGGGCCCAGTGAGTCCAAAATGCGCCTGGCGTGTGATCGATTTGCGCGAGGGCCTAGAACTCGCATCCATCCGCCACCTCGTTGTCCGCCGCCGGTACAGCACAGTACCCACCACCCACCAAGACTATTGTACCAACATCTAGCTGTACGTGGGTCTCCCGGCCACGCGCATGGTTCCGCTTGAACGCCCCCACGGTCAAGTGATTCAACCCAAACGGCTACTCTAAATAGTGTGCCCCCTTTTATTCGTTTCGCCTGGTGAAGGATGTTGTGAGCTAACCCCGTCGCAACAATGGACCAGAAGCCGACCTCGGAGAGCAGGGCGGATTACGCCAGCAGCAAGAACACGCCCACCAGAAGCTGCACCACGGCGTGTCCCAACGAGTGGGCGATGAGTGCGTTTCCAACGTTTTTGCTGCGAGATCAGCACATTTCACAACTTTGGAAAATCAAGATAAATAGACTATGCAGGCGTGTTTCCTGTTTGTGTTGAAGAGAAGATCCGTCAACTCCACCGTCCGTGTTCCACGTATTTTTGCTGTTAAACAATGTTCAGTGTCGCCCTTTCGACATCGACACACCTATCGACACGTCTAGACAAAAGCTTCTGTTCCACAACAATGCCAATGCCATCTACTATTGCACACGACAGCCAGCCTTTCTTGTCGACTTTCGCTGACGGTTTCAGGTGTTCAAACAGGGATGCGGTACACACTGTAGGACACAGAGGGAAAACGAGAAAACGGCGGAGAGCGGAGAGAAAAAAACACGCGGCGAGACCCAAAAAAGACATGAAACAACCAGCTCTGAGGAGGTTGGCACATCAGACATCAGATACTCGCCTGAAGGTTTAACGACTGATCCTGTGTAGACAAGATGCTTTTCTAGATCGCGATGGAACGCCTTCTTTCTGCGGTGATCGCATTCATGATGCCTTACTGGCCTTCGGGGTGGGATGGATCCAACTTCGTTGGCTACGCCCTACCACTTGCTATCGCTACTTTGGCTGGGAGCATCCTCTTCAGCCTGATGATCTGGTGAGCGATACAGTCCACGCCACATGTGTACCTAGCAGAGTCCGAGGAGCAAGCGGGCGCCAAGGGCGCCGAGTAGAAGAGTTGATGGAGNCTGCGGTGATCGCATTCATGATGCCTTACTGGCCTTCGGGGTGGGATGGATCCAACTTCGTTGGCTATGCCCTAGTCTACCACTTGTTGTCGCTACTCTGGGTGTGACCACGCTCTTCACCCTGGTGACTGGTGAGCGATAGAGTTCACGCTACATGTGTACCTAGCAGAGGCCGAGGAGCAAGCGGGCGCCAAGGGCGCCGAGTAGAAGAGTTGATGGAGGTATTTGGCCAGCTACTTGTAGCCTGGGCGCCATTCGCCACTTACCGCAATCATCGGGGTCTTGGCACACTGTGCGGTCGTTTTTTTAAATGTTTCGAACTTCAGACTTTTTTCGCACAGGTGTGCCAAGACCCCGACATGTGCCAAGTTCGCGATACCTGTGCGGAAATGCAGTAAATATTTTTGTTCTAAGAAACAACGCACACCCCTGTGCCAAGACCCCGATATGTGCGATCCTAACATTGAAAACCACAGGGGATAGCAGCACTTCGCGTGTATGGTATTGCTGCAACACGATCACAACACAACCAACAGACAAGCTAGTAGCTGCACACACAAACGAGTCTCGGGGAATTGCCACCACAACAGTTCCGTGGCGGAGAAATACCGGCGGAAAATCGGGAAAATGCCCGGGACGGAGCTGTGGACTCGACCACACGCAACGCGCGGCTACGATGTCGGAGGGTGCAAGCGCGGGACCTGCCGACGCCTCACAGGCCTCACAGGCCTCACAGGCTAGTGCTGGCGGTCCTTCCTCTGCGGATCAGGGAGCTGCCGCTGCGGACCCGAAGGCAACCGGCGAGGCTATCGATGAGATGCTAGCCGCCAACGACCCCGTCAAAAACAGCAACGGCAAACGCGCGTACCCGGAGCCCAACTTCCCGATCGAGCGGTCAGGAGCAGTGGGAGGGAAAGGGAGCTACCCCATCCGGTTCAAACTGAAGGCGGCGGCCTACACACGGGAGATCTGCCCGTGCGACGGTCAACCGGTGGGAAACAACGGCGCGGCGAAAGTTCTCCTGGTGCGCGGAAGCGTATCATCGAGTGGCTGAAGCAGGAGGAGCAGCTCAAAGAGAAGGTCAGCGCCAACCCCAAGTTTTCGAAGGCCAAGCAGGTTCACAGCGGAGGGAAAGCTTCGACCGTCCACGCCGAACAAGCCCTTGTGGACTACATCAAAGAGCAGCGCAAGCAGCACCGCGGTTGTGGTAATCGGGAGGTGATGAACAAGCTGCTCGAGCTGAAGCCTGACGCCCTTGGCGGGATGCCGGCGAACGCGAAACCGGAGGAGGCGCTGGCTTTCAAGGTCAAATTCAACTCCTGGTACCAACGGTTCCGCAAGCGGAATGGGTTCAGCATCCGCCGGCGTACCAGCGTGCGCCAGAAACTGCAGAAGGGGTACGAGGGTATGGCGTCGGCGACGGTGATGAAGCTGCGCGAGGCTCTCGTAAAGCGCGCCGGTGAGATCTACGCTCGGCGCCACCCGCCGGCACCTGACGAGAGCCCCATCAAAGGGGAGGATCTGACTTCCGAGCAGCTGGCGTCTGTGGAGGCGGAGGTTTTCGAGGAACTCGGCAACATGGACCAGACGCCAGTCCAGCACGAGATGCCGGTGGAGACCACTCTGGAGAAGACCGGTGCGAAGGATGCTCGCATCAGCACAGGAGGTGAGGGCGAGCTAATATTTTTGTCAAAAACTTGTGTGAAGTGCGTATTTTTTGTCGTTGGACAATTTTTTAAGACAGATGTTTTTTTTTTGCGTGCCGGTACACGGTGCGATGTAGCTCTATCGGTAGACACAGGAGGGTTGCTACCTTTTTCTGCGGGATTGTTCTAAACTACACTTCCTTTTTCATTGCATCCAAACTATCAACCAACTTAGTTTTCNGACAAAAAGGTTTCGCCGCGCATCATCTTCAAGGGCACGTCGTTCATCCCCCCNCGCACCGCTGTCCTCGCAGAAATATTCAACACTCTACTCCCCCCCCCCTCCCCTCCTGTTGATTTTTTCCCCCTCCCCTCAGGCAAAGAGAAGGAACGCTTCACGCTCGTTCTGGCTGTCATGGCGGACGGCAAAAAGGTTTCGCCGCGCATCATCTTCAAGGGCACGCCGTTCATCCCCCCGACCGTGAGCGGCAAGGGCAAGAGCACCCTGCCGCGGAAGAACTCCGTCGCGTGAGAGTTCCATCCTGCTAACAGCGCCAAGCACGGCCACCCTGCCAACGGCATGTCCTTCGGCGTGCAGGAGAAGAGCTGGAGTGACCAGCGGGAGTGCAACGGGTGGATCTCGGGCAGCTGGAAGCTCCGTCCCAACAACGGCAGCATCATCCAGCAGCGCCTGTGCATCCTGGTGCTGGACGACTTCAAGTGCCACAAGGGCGAGGGTTTCATCGCCCCCCTCAAGAGAGACGCCAACACCATCGTCATCTTCATCCCAGGCGGGTGGACGCCCTTGCTCCAACCGCTCGACCGCATGCTCAACAAGCAGATGAAGCGGCTGCTGCGGGGCAAGTACACAGCATACAGCGCGTCGGCGGTCGCAGACGCCCGGTCGGGGAAGCTGAAGCCACCGGAGCGTGGGGTCGTCTCTACGTGGTGCAAGAAAGCGTGGGAGTCTATCACCCCCGAGACGGTGAAGACTTGCTTCAAGATCTGCGGTCTCACGCTCGCGCTCGACGGCAGCGAAGACCACGCCTGGTGCGAGCACAACTTCGGGGAAGACTACCGCGACCTTCTCGAGGAGCAGCACGCCGTGTGGCTCGCTGAGCACCCCGACGTGACTCTCCCGCCGCTCAAGCTGCCGAAGGTACCAGGGGGGTTCGACTCCAACCCCATCACGGCTGCTCAGAAGGAGGTCGAGGGGAAGCTGCTGCCCTACGTCGCTGATGAGAGCGACAGCGAGGTGGAGGTCTCGGAGGGCGACAGCGACGTGGAAGTCGTGGAGGGGCAGGGGGGCGGGGACGCCGAAGGAGAAGTAGTCGAATTTTGAATAATAGTTCTTTGGGATTGCCAGTGAGATTGGATATTTTTGGGATGGTAGGGGCGCGGGCACCACGTAGAGTTCAACCCGCCTAGGACGTACAGTAGTAGGACGTTGGTAGCTCGTAGTGGTAGTTTGGTGTGATTTTTTACTTCGTTTTTGGTTTCATCTGCGTTTAGAATTGTTGAGTGGATGCCGTTTGCAGATTTGCCGATCTTGTTCTTGAGAACGAAAAGAAGAGAACAAAGAGTACAAATACCACATTTTTGAACATCGTCATGGTGCCAAGGGCAGCAGTAGCAGTGGAGCACGCGATTCAAGCTCCCACAGTATCCGGAATTTCCAGCACAAGATGCTGGTGAAAGGGTATCACTTGCCGCCAAACCTCACCGCACATATCGGGGATGCGACGTCAATGGTCCAACGACTACGGCATGCACGACCACGAGTACACCCCACCCCCCCCAGGTGTTTGCCAACGGGGTTGGGTGTTCGTCGCATGGCAAAGACGTTGTAAAACAAGTCGATCACTTCGTGAACTCGGCAACCAGGGTACCGTTTGTTTTTGTTTTTTTTGGCGGTAACCATGAATGGTGGTCGAGTAGATCGTGTTGTGCGGGNACCCGCCGAATATCTCACGGCACTTCGCGCTTGGTGATGTGAGAGCCTGGTCCGGTGAGAACCAGGCGTGCTCCGTCCCGGCTTTGTAGGGATGCGAGGTCAATGGTCTAACGACTACGACGTGCACGACTACGAGTACACACACACACACCCGCCCACTTCTATCTCCTGCTAGCTTTGATCTATGGGATATTTCGTCGCTGCAGGGGCGCTCTCGCCCAACGGGCGGCCGCCCGAGCCGGTGATTTTGTGGTAACGAGAACGGTGCTCCGAATGTGGTCCCCCAAACGTCGGGCAATACTGTTGTTCTGTGGAGCTCAACGGTGTAGGAGGGGGGGCGGTTCCTTGTAACCCTCGGACTCCCCTCGTCGTCGTGGACCAGGGAAGGGTACGGGTTCGTAGAAAGCACATGTTGATGGAGGTGGCGCGGGGGCGGGCCACCGGCGAAAGCGTAAGGTAGCAGGTGACTTCGATGGCTTTGTCCGTGCGCACACGGCCGGGCTCTGCGGGTGGGAGATCGTTATACCTACGACGGATAGGTGTTCGACTGATGCTATTTCCTCGATCCCCACGGCAAGGGGACTACTACAGTAGGTGGGGTAACAATGAGCTCTGCCCTAACGTGGGATTCTCGGTAGCACAGGGTGTTCAGCCCAACGTCCCTGCGCAAAGTGCTCTGTATACTGCAAATTCTATCGGCAAACGGTCTTTTTCCAAGTTGAAGATGGAGTACCGCGAACAACCAGGTCAGGAATCAGTGTGAAATGTCGTTCAAGAGGGCGGCGCCCCGTGTTCGAGTCTCCAAGTGGAGGCGTACGTTCAGCAACACCCAAATGCGGTGGATTCGCTGCCACGAGGGCGTGGTCACAAACAGGTGAAGTGATCCGCCATGTGCACCACATGGAAGCTGTCACACAATAAATCAGCACACAGGCGAAGTTCAAGCATCTGCGGGTGGTGACAGTGGTCCAAGCCTCATCCTCAGTCTTGCTGTGCAACAACTAAATATCGTTTGGATCGTCTCGCCGCACCTGACCGGGCGTTGGCTTTCGAAATCGCACATTTTCGGGAGCAACCTCCACACAGGAGCCCACGTACCACGAAAACTTGCTACGCTCACTGAATCATTGCGTTACAGCTATTTCCCAGGTGGGCGATGCTTGTGGGTGTCCCTCGGCCAGTGTGCCACATGCCGCCCACTCAGGGGTAACACCAACACCAAGTCAGCTAGCTCATCATGGGGAGTGCGAAAGGGGCGTAGTCTCAAAAAGGGTTCAGCAAGAAAGTAACCATTGATTTTTCCAGTGTTTTTTGCTCCACACGATCACAACGTCCTGATGTTCCGGGCAGCGTGAGCCTCATCGTGTTTTCCCTGCTGACAAATCACCGTCTCCCCCCTCTCCCCCAATGCAGTTGTTTTCAGGGCCTTTTTGCAGACCTAGGCCGAAGGTCACGAGACAAATAGGAACATGCCGAAGTTTGGACGGGACCACCAGCCGCTACAGGAAGCCTTACCAACCACACCTTCATGCATCAGTGATCCACTCCGAGGAAGAGAAATGAACGCCTTAGTACTGCAATGGGTGCTTACTAAACGATAAAATTGGAGTTCTCGAAAGCGGCGACGACTGGCGAAGGGTTCCGTTCGTCGACCGCCCCTGCGCCTCCTGCCGATGCTGCTGACTCATGTTCTGCCGATGGCGATGGTGGGCGTTCTTGCTCCACGCCCGCAACTTGTTCGGGAGACGGCGAGGCATCGGACGCAGCCATCGAGGCACCGCCTAGCCGAGCGGGGTCGCTCGCCGTCGCACGGGCTCGCTAATGTCGGCTCCTCGACGTCGTTGGGATGACAACCATCCCGTCCCCCGCGTGTGCTCGGCAGAACTTCTTCTCCCTGCTCCCTGCGAACCCGTGGCTCGGCCTGTTGGAGAGGTTCTCGCGGGCACACCTCTTGCCGAGCAAGGAGACCATACCCTCTACTGCGTGCTTTCCTCAAAACTCCCCCTTCTCCGTGCCCACCACGCCGTGGCTCCTTTGTTTGGAACATCCTTCGTCGCCACACATGTTGATGTGCAGGTTGATCATCTCCATCGGGGCGTGGGCGAAGCAGAATTCCCGCGTCCTGGTGCCTGGCAAACCATGGGTCGGCTGCTTTTGGCAACCAGGTCGCCCGCATTCCTTGTTAACAACATTGATCATTGCCTCCGCCGCATGCTCGGAGCAGGCCACCGGCTTCGTGGTACCTGCAACAACCACCATAAATGACGGGTTGGTTTGAACCGTTGACAAAGGCGTAGAAAAGCAAAACAGAAGCTTTATTGAAAAATCGAACTGCCATGCCGTCTGTTTTGCGGTAACCGGGCAAGTTTTTCGTGGTGCGGAGGCCCTCGAACGAGAGCAATAATTGCATATTCTACCACTCTGTTCAAGTTTTTTCTTCAGACAGAGAGTCTCAGCGTGCGGAGAGAGAGAGAGAGAGAGAGAGTAGCGCAGAGACGACGAGCAAGGTGGATACGTAGAAGGCTTCTGTCAGCCTGGGAGCTTAAATGAATTGGGTGTTTCCCCACCCACCCACCCTTACTCTTTCGAAAGCGCGCGGGGAGAGCACTGACTTCAGTAACCGGTGCAGTTGCAATACTAGGGCAAAGAAAACGGTAGGGTGCCATTTGGGGAACTTGGTCATCTAAGATTGCGTACCGTAAGACTAGTCCCTACCGGTCAAGAGAACTACTGTAGTGGTTGCCGTTCGCAGGAAAGAGAGAGAAGCAGTCTGGAAGGCAGACACCTTAGAAAAGGCGCCGAGAGGGTCTGCGTGGGGGAAGTGTGCTCTACCGGCTTCTATCTCTCTCTTTCCTCGGGTGCATATTAACGAAGGCCATTCTAAAGCAAAACAATAAACGCAATCCAAAGAACGCCATACCTGCAACACCATAGATGGATCTCTTCCCGCAGCCCTCGTGTTCGCAGATTCTCCTTGTTGCGCTGACCATCCCTTGAAGGGCATGCCCCTTGCAGAATTTTTTTCAACAGACAGGCCGCACTTTGCTCCGTTCCGGCAGCCTTCTCGCACGCACGTGGTCTGCTCAAGACTGAACATGCCCTCGAGTGCATGCTTGGAGCAGAATCCCATCTTCTTGCTGCCTGCGACACCAACATATGCTGTCGTGAAGCAACCATCGCTAGCGCATCTCCTGTTGGAGAGGTTGACCATCCCTTCCAGCGCATGTTTGTCGCAGAACTCCGTCGGCCCACCTACTACGCCAAAGCTCGCGGACGTGAAGCAGCCGTCTCTCGCGCACGCCTTCCTCACTAAATTGACCATGCCCTCGAGTGCATGCTTGGAGCAGAACTCCTTCTTCTTGCTGCTTGCGACACCAAAGCTTGCTATCGTGAAGCAACCATCGCTAGCGCATTTCCTGTTGGAGAGGTTGACCATCCCTTCCAGCGCGTGTTTTCAACTGAACTCCCGCTTCTTGCTGCCCGCCAGGCCATAATGCGCACGCGTAGAACAACCGCCAATGTTGCACTCCTTGCTCACGTTGACTGAAGCCGCAAGAGAATGCCGTGAGCAGAACCCTGCCTTCTGGCCCGCAACACCGCGAGTAGGTTCCCTCGTGCACCTGTACTGGGTGCAGCTACTCCCACCAACCTGTGAATCGCTCATTGCTGACTCCCCCTCCCTTTCGTCTTCAGCTTCTCGAGTGTCACCCGACCACATCTCTTCCTTGACCACACCATCAAACTCGCTGGACTCCCCCCTCCTCGATAGAGTCGATGTCTTCTACAGCAGCAGTAGACGATCCTCGTAGATTAGTTGAAAATACAGCGGTGTCCTAACTTGGTGCCGCTGAACAGCTCGAAGGCCTTGCGGATTAAAATGCGCCGCAAGAAGCGGTGGCTGCTTACAACAGCAACGCTGTCCCCGAGACCGCGCAAGTAGCCACGTTCCGGTGCACGAAACGAGGGCGTAACACCTGTGTGATTTGACACCGAGGCAATATATTGGCATCCGAGCCGGTCAGCCGGTTGTTACACTACGTCAAGGAAACGACAGAACAATCAAGAACAAGCGATTTTCACACACGTGTTCCTGCTCTGCGATGCGAGGAACACCACCAGCGAGACAGGTCGGACTTGAACGAGAGCCCCGGGAAGTAGCAGCCCTTCCCCCCGTTGTCGCTTCATTCCAAGCCTCGCGCAGCGAAACGGGATGTGTTGGGTGGTCTCCTGTAATATTAGTAGTTTCTGGCGTGTGTCGACCAAGACGAGCCCCACCAGCGCCTCGTCGCTCACACTCCCCGGCCGGGCCTCCCTACTGTGCATCCTACGTACGTACCAGGAAGCCGACTGTGCATCGATCATATGGATTTAGTGTACATAGGGGCAAATTTCCACCTTTTCTTCTTTCAAAGGGGGCACACTGTCTGGAATGTGAGATTTTTTTGCCCCAAGAACAAGAGCGGCGCGATTACATCGCACTTTTCACAACACCACACCGCATCTCATAGAAGCGAGAGGCAAAGCGCCAAACGGCGGCGGCAATGGGGCGACCGAATGTCAGCCCAGGCTCGATCGTCATGTCTTCAGCAGGAACTGGATCACGAGGTCGCGGAAACTATGGAAGGGCCGACAGAGGCAGGTCGGATAGATACGAAGCGCCCGCACAGCAGCCGTTCCGGTGCCATATGCGTGGAAGCCATCAGAACGCGGGACATACGAGTACCTCATCGCAGTTAGTCTCAACCTGAATCCTTATGGATTTGATCACTTCTGCGNAATGGGGCGACCGAATGTCAGCCCAGGCTCGATCGTCATGTCTTCAGCAGGAACTGGATCACGAGNAAAACGAGAGCGGCGCGATTACATCGCACTTTTCACAACACCACACCGCATCTCATAGAAGCGAGAGGCAAAGCGCCAAACGGCGGCGGCAATGGGGCGACCGAATGTCAGCCCAGGCTCGATCGTCATGTCTTCAGCAGGAACTGGATCACGAGGTCGCGGAAACTATGGAAGGGCCGACAGAGGCAGGTCGGATAGATACGAAGCGCCCGCACAGCAGCCGTTCCGGTGCCATATGCGTGGAAGCCATCAGAACGCGGGACATACGAGTACCTCATCGCAGTTAGTCTCAACCTGAATCCTTATGGATTTGATCACTTCTGCGCTCATTGCGATCAATCGGAGGAGAGGCTCGAACGGCGAGTAAGTTACGATAGCCACGGCACAGTGGGCAACAGAGGCGTGAGTGGGAAAGAGCCGAGTTCAAGCCGTGGTAGCTCCCAGAATCCATACATGAGCTCACAAGTAGCAGCCGCAGCCGCAGCCGCAGCCGCCGCCGCAGCAGCAGCAGCAGCAGCGTCCGCTGGAACTGGAGTCCCCCACGCAGCAGGAGCAGAAGTAGCAGCAACACTGTCGGTTGGCATATCTGAAGGTAGAGGGGCAGCGACGTCGATGGCGGCGGGGGCGCCCAGGATTGTTTCATCATGTTGTAATTTGGTCAAGGTTATAGACTACACGGCAGACGGTTACAGCTGGTGCCGGATCTTCAGCCGATGACCTACGTGGCGTGGGCGCCGGTGACCTTGCGGCGGGGGCGCCTCGTCGTCGGCAGCCAGTAGATATACGGAGGAAGAACCCATGGACGAGATGAAGAGTGCGTCGACGGAGAAGAAGCGCCGGAGGAAGAGGCAAAGCAGGGAGATCGGGAGCGATGGATGAATGTCGAGTTACAAACTCCATCACGGAACAAGCGAGGATGGTCTTGGACATTCTCCCCAAGATAGCCGGCAACGGCACGCTGGCTCCACCACAGTGGATGAAGGAGCGGCATCTGCCGCCCAAGTATGTAGCGGCAGCGTTTAATCGACGTTTCCCTGACGCCCCGATATGCCGGCCCGCAGACAGCCCGGAGAAGCGCGCCGCTGCGGCGATGAAAGCGGCGAAAGTGACACCAGCGATGAGAACCCGGGTCGAGAAGGGAGAGATCATTGATGTGCTTTTGAAGGAGCCGGCCATGGCCGTTTTCGCGACGACACAAGTTGTCTTCGCTCTACACGTGCACGAGGTGGTCTTCTTCGAAGAATTGGTCGGCATTCCAGCTATCCAGGCAAGTGCATGAATGAGCGAAGGAGCCGATGACGGTACCCGACACTTGGCCTTTGGAAGATGTTGCGCGTGCGTGCCGAAGGTGCGTGCTGAAAGATGAAAAAAAAAAAAAACAAGTCGTCGCACATTCAAATTGTTGTCGTGACTAGTTTTCTGTTGATAATAGTGCATTTTGGTTGTCACGGATTACAGTGTTGCGCACGCTCATGATCTATCAGCTCATGCCAATGTCGACGTTGTTGGTCGGTATGCCCCCCTCCCTTCCGCTGCGGCAAGCCCACAACTCTTGTTTGAAGTTTGCATGACGGGAACCTTCAGAAGTTCTGACAGAAAGCGCCGAACTCTGTTTTGTTGGCGGGAAGTTTTGCTCTTGATGAGACCTGCCGCCGCCGCACTCAAGAGTCTCTGTCAGCGATTAGCCCTCTTGCCTCAAACAAGGGACACCGCCTGAACAGAAACGAGCATCGGAACATGGCCTGACGTAAAGAGCCCTCTCCCCCTCTGTTGATATATTTTCAGGTGACAACCCCCGGCGGGGCGAAGGGAGTGAGGATGATCTGTCCAGGATGCAAATCGAATTCGGAAGTGAAACCTCCTGGAGTGGGCATGGCTTCCCAAATGCGGGTGCTCAAAAGGCAAGCAGCACGTTTGCGGTATGAACTTGTTTTTCGACTTGATTTCCTGTTTGTTTTGGTTTGCTGTTGGTTGTTGTCTCTGTTGCTTGTGAGCCGTCCGTTTATCTCGGTAGTCCCGGAAGAGTCTTCTGTTGTAAGAACATGCGCGCTTAGTCTTTGCGCCCTTATTTTCGACACGTTCTGAATGCCGTCTTACTCCGTATTCTTCTCTTTGTAATTCGCCCGCTTCTTACGACAGATACGCGCGGTACCCGATGTTGGCAGGGTGGTGGTTCCGTTGGCGGGCAGGTATTCCTGCACGGCCTAAGGGTGCCCTCTCGTCTTGGAATGTGCCAAGAGGGCGGCCAACAAAAAAAAAGTGGTCATTGCGGATGACGGGTGGGACGAGNCCCGCTTCTTACGACAGATACGCGCGGTACCCGATGTTGGCAGGGTGGTGGTTCCGTTGGCGGGCAGGTATTCCTGCACGGCCTAAGGGTGCCCTCTCGTCTTGGAATGTGCCAAGAGGGCGGCCAACAAAAAAAAAGTGGTCATTGCGGATGACGGGTGGGACGAGGCCACCATCCGCGAGCATTGCCCAAACGGCGCTTCCTTTACCACCATGGACGACAGGTACGGTGAGGATTTCATTTAAGCGTATACCTAGTAGTATTTAGCTTCAATCTTGGCATCGCATTGCAGTGCGAAAATTGCACGCACAAGGATCGCCTATTCTTACATGTTCTCCCTGGGTCACTCGACCACTGAAGCTTTGCAGGTACATGCAGTTGCTACCTGAAGAGATTGTCTCGCGATTGCCTTTTCGCTACTTTAGGCAAAATGGCACGTCAGAGACTCTACTGGACCAAGTGAGGGCGACGGAGGGCGATCTGCAGATGCAATCCTAACCTGAAATCGGTTCCGTTTTTTTTTCGATCTTGATGTGTTTGAGCAGGTGGTTTGCACTCTGCTTGTCCTCCTTGATTTTCGCTGTGATAAGAGTGGCTCCACTGAAAACTCGTTGGTTATCCGCCCCACGTGTTTGCTGTTGCTTGCTCCAACGAACATGAAGACGTATCGCAGGATCCTGGTCGCAGGCGAGCAAGGCCGAGAGCTACGAGAAATGCATAGGTACATCCGGTTTGCGGCGAAGCATCGGAGTGCGGAGCACGCCCTGTGGCCAGGCTGGAAGTTCAGCCGCGGGACCCTCATCTCCACTCCGTCCATCGCCGTGTTGAACACGATTTACAAGGCTGGGCACGACGATGTAAGAAGAGGAAGCGTGGATACGTTTCTGGTACTCGCGCGTTTTCTCGTGTCTGCTCGGGTTTTGTTCCGTCGTGTTCAGATTCTCCTCTGCCGACACACCGATCACAATGTTGCGTTCTGTCGTAATCCACAGGACAAGGAGCACATGCAACGCGAAATCCACTCGCAGTATGGGGGGCAGTTCCTGTGCATGGATGGCACGTGGCGCATCGGTTTGAGGGTCATTGATTCTCCGGACTGCCTATTTTTCCTGTTGGGGGAGGACGCCAAGGTTCACTCGTACGGAGCTGTGCAAAGCGAAAGGAAGGAGGAAATATACCTTCTTCTGAAGAGGTACACTATCGTCAAATTTGATGTAGGCGAGATTGTCGCGGAACTGTTTCCTGGGGACATACGCGAAAACAACTGTCGGCGAAATTTTCGCAAAATGCCTTTGTCGAGAGCTGCGTTGAGTATCGTAAAGCATCATCTATGCGTGGTAGCGAAAGATGCCACGTTTAGTCCGCTCTTACACGTTCTCATCACCCGCACAACGCCGCAGGTACGCGGAGAGACGGAGGAGGAGCGGCACGCTGCTCGCTCTGAAGTGGTTGTACGACTACCTCTGCTGTAGAGGGGCTGATGATGTCACCAAGGGGTGGATACTCGATATATTCGAGGGAGTGATGCGCAGGGCACTTGCGAATTCTTTCCACTTTGGGCAGGTAACAAATAGTTTCCAGAAGTTTGTGCAAAATTCTAGGTGTGATGGTACAGTACGCCNAGGAGGAAATATACCTTCTTCTGAAGAGGTACACTATCGTCAAATTTGATGTAGGCGAGATTGTCGCGGAACTGTTTCCTGGGGACATACGCGAAAACAACTGTCGGCGAAATTTTCGCAAAATGCCTTTGTCGAGAGCTGCGTTGAGTATCGTAAAGCATCATCTATGCGTGGTAGCGAAAGATGCCACGTTTAGTCCGCTCTTACACGTTCTCATCACCCGCACAACGCCGCAGGTACGCGGAGAGACGGAGGAGGAGCGGCACGCTGCTCGCTCTGAAGTGGTTGTACGACTACCTCTGCTGTAGAGGGGCTGATGATGTCACCAAGGGGTGGATACTCGANCATCTATGCGTGGTAGCGAAAGATGCCACGTTTAGTCCGCTCTTACACGTTCTCATCACCCGCACAACGCCGCAGGTACGCGGAGAGACGGAGGAGGAGCGGCACGCTGCTCGCTCTGAAGTGGTTGTACGACTACCTCTGCTGTAGAGGGGCTGATGATGTCACCAAGGGGTGGATACTCGATATATTCGAGGGAGTGATGCGCAGGGCACTTGCGAATTCTTTCCACTTTGGGCAGGTAACAAATAGTTTCCAGAAGTTTGTGCAAAATTCTAGGTGTGATGGTACAGTACGCCCGAAGCCGCTGCGGACGAGATCCTCGAGGGTTGTACATTTAGCCGCCTCTTAAATGAATCACTCCGCTCGTTGTCGTCGTGTGCCCTCCGCTCGCTGCACACTGATGGCTTGTCCACCGCCACCGCCGCCGCCTGTTGCTACCTTCTGCTCCGTAGACTCTTGTGGGTGCTGCGACATCGAAAAACCACCCAAGAATGGCCGTATTTGCGGCGGGGGTTGGACAAATTCTCCGCACCAAGTAACAGCCGGACCTTGAAGAGGTAGCGGCACACTTGAAGCGGGTAAACCCGGGGATGTTGGAGATGGAGGCCGAGGTAATGGCCAAAAAGAGAGCGTGGTCGCCGTTCGTTCGGACGTATTCCCGGCCTGCACAAGAGGTTGAGGACGACCTGGTGAAGGACGCAGGCGACTACGTCCAGCTTGACCAGGCTGCCATCGCCAGGAAGGAGCTGCCACTGCTGCGTATTGGTGATGTAGCGGCAGTGTGTATCGGTTGAACTGCTGCTGTAGATCATCTGATTGGATGGTTTGAATATCAGAACTGTCTGTCTGTGTAGTTCCAGAGAAAGTTATCGATGGCATGCTTGTCGCGACTGCGTATCGTCTGGGAAATGACTCTATTGGAACGGTGTTGGCTGCCCTCACTCCTTCAAACCCCAAGCACGAAACGAGTATGGATGTGAACGACTTTCATAACATTTATGCTCACGCACATGAAGGATTGCTTCGTACTACTGCAAAGCGATTGGGTACCGAGTTGACTGGTAGCCTGGATGCTTGTACGGGATGTTCGATGTCAAAGGCAATTAGAAAAGGGATTGCTCGTGAAACTAAACGTAGATCAGATAAAAAGTTAGGGAGAGTTTTTGTTGACCTGGGAGGGAAGAAGGCCGTTGTGTCTGTCGGGGGGAAGTATTACCCCATGATTGTGAAGGATGATTTCACAAGGCGTGCATGGATCTATTTTCTGAGAAATAAATCAGACGCTGCGAGTGCTTTCCGGAGTTTTCTTGCTAGTGTGCGTGCTGATGGAATCCCATCATTGGTTGAGACTGTTAGATCTGACAATGGAGGGGAGTTTTTCGGTGGAGAATTTGCATCTGTGTGCAATGAGCTCTTGATTAAGCAAGAGTTCACCCCAGCTCATAGTCCTCAATACAACGGTGTTGCAGAGCGTGGCTTGGGATTGATAGAGGAGGCCGCAATGGCGGCTCGTATTCAGGCGAAAGTTCTTTTTGGGCATGTGCAGTTACCTAAGACTGACAAACTCTGGGCTGAGGCGATGCACTGGGCTTGCGAGGCACTTAATCACACGGCTTGTTCTGCTAACCCCGACTCTAAATCGCCGTATGAAATGTGGTATGGGGAAGCCCGTCCTGCTAGACCTTATCCGTTTTTGAAACCGGCGTACTGCAAGTGGCAGCGACCGTCGAAACTTTTCCCGAAGGGTGAGAGTTGCTTTTATGTCGGTCCTTCGAGAGACCACCCGCGTGATTGTCATCGAGTACTTACGAGGGCTGGGACTATTCAGGAAACGAGGGATGTAACGTGGGAGGCCTTGCCGTCACAACTCCCTCCACCGCAACCTCCATTGCCGATAGAGATTGCGGAGGAGGGAGGGGAGGAAAGTGACAACGATGTAGAAACTGAGGTATGGCCGCTTGTAGGGAGGGGAGTTGCCCACACACTGTTGCGAAATAACGCGGCAGTGGTCCCCTCTGGTGAAGCAATTGATGTGGTTGAAAGTGTTGACGCAGGCAGTGTAGGTCGATCGCCGTCTCCCCCTTCTGTGCCATCTTCGCCCGTTCCCTCTGTGTCTTCTCCAGCACCTGAGTTCACCGATGGTGATGGGCAGGGAGGGCAAGATGTGGGGGAAATAGAGTCGATGGGTCCGGGAGATCAGGAAACAGATCCTGTAGGGCCGGGAGGGCAGGAGGTAGAGGCAGAGGCATCTCCTCCAGTTGCTCGTCGTCCGCGGCATGTAGCTGAGCTAGCTGATTTCAACAACCCTGCGCGTGAGAATGATGAAGTAAGAGAAGGTAGAACTCGCGCGCAAACCCGTGCAGTTAATCAGCAGAGCGTGCCAGGCCTCGTGGCCACCCTAGGGCCCGTCTTCGCAACAGAAATAATAAATTCATTGTTGGCGGAGCAGAGAGCAGGTGATGCAGTGGAATTGCCAAAAGAACTAGTTCAGGACGTAGAGTCTGAACCTGGTAGCTATCAGGAAGCCCGGCAATCGAAGCACGCCGCGATTTGGGATGGAGCTATGTCTGCAGAAGTTGAAGGCTTGATAAGGGCAGGAACTTTCACGTTAGCGGTAAAGATCCCAATAGGCTGTAACGTGATAGATGCTAGATGGGTGTTCAAATGGAAAGCAGACGAAACAGGGAAGATAGTGAAGGCCAAGGCTAGGCTTGTCGCGAAGGGCTTCAGGCAGAAGTATGGTGTAGACTATCTTGAGACTTTCTCGCCTACTGCAAATGCTGCATCAATTCGATTGTTGGTAGCATTGGCGTGCAAGTATGATTTGGAATTACTCCACTGGGATATTGAGCAAGCGTTTGTTCAGTCGAAGTTGGATCACGAGGTGTTCATGAAGTTGCCTCCTGGCTGTGGTTCGATGTCAGGAAAGGTTGTCCGTCTGAACAAGAGTTTGTACGGATTGAAACAGGCATCTAGGACATTTTACAAGAGGCTTGTGTCGGATCTGAAGAGGATTGGTTTCGAGCAGTCTCTGTCTGACCCCTGTGTGCTGCGTTTCATGATGGGAGACGAGGTATTGGGGATGGTCGCGATTCACGTGGATGACATTCTGTATGCAGGAACTAAGAGTCTTGCCAAGGTGGTCGTAGAGGCACTAGGCGATTCTCTTCCTACGAAGAATTTGGGAGAGGTCAAGTTCTTTCTTGGTTGCGCTTTTATTCGCGACCGCGAGGCTGGCACGATTGAGATTTCTCAGGAGAGTTACATAAGGAGTGTGCTTGAGAGATTCAAAATCTGTCGCACCAGCTCGATCCCTGCTTCCCCTGCTAATGATAACAGGTCCGTGATGGAGGATGAGGAGGCAGGAGATGTGCCGTTCCGAGAGGTGGTGGGGTGCCTGATGTGGGTCGCCAACGGGACAAGGCCCGACATCTCGAATGCCGTGCGGGCGGTGGCGAGGCACTCTCATGAGCCAAAGAAGAGAGACTGGAAGGCAGCTCAGAAGATTCTGAATTATCTTCTGGCAACGGCACATCTAACTCTGAAGTACAAGAGAGACAGTACGGTTGATGACGTAGGCACGTTGGTGTATGTAGATGCAGACTTTGCCAGCAAGGCCACTGACCGTAGATCAGTTTCGGGAGCACTAGTCATCGTAGCTGCTTGTCTTGTAGCTTGGCTTTCTTGGACGCAGAAATGTGTTTCACAGTCGACTTCTGAGGCAGAGTATCTTGCGATGGGCGATGGTGTGAAGGAGTCTCTGTTTGTGAACGGAATGCTTCAGTTCTTGAGGCCTAGTGTAGAGCCTCGTAAGATTGACGTCCTTGAGGACAACGAGGGAGCGATTGCGCTCGCAGAGAATCCGCTTAGCTCGTGCAGGAGTAAGCACATCGATGTGAGGCACCACTTTCTTAGGAATTTAACCGAGGAGGGTGTGATCGAGATCACCCATGTTCCCAGCGAAAAACAACATGCGGACATCCTCACGAAGGCTCTGCCGAGGAGTATTTTTGAAGTTCACCGTGACTTTGCGTTGGGCTCTAGGAAGTAGGAGTCTGAAGAAACGTTTTTGTTTGACAAACTACATGTTATGGGTCTGGTAAGATACAACAGCCCCTAGGGAGGGTATTGGTGATGTAGCGGCAGTGTGTATCGGTTGAACTGCTGCTGTAGATCATCTGATTGGATGGTTTGAATATCAGAACTGTCTGTCTGTGTAGTTCCAGAGAAAGTTCCTTGTGGAAGTTATACTGTTCGGAGTTGGATCAGCAGATAGTCAGTAGGGTGCACGTTAGGTGCACGTTAGGTGCACGTTGTGTGGACGTTGCATGGATGTGGCACGTGGGATGATTACCCTCAACAGGAATTGTTCTAGTTCGGTTGTAGGGATCGGAACATTACGTTGTTGGAACGTTGCGAGTAGTATATTGTTCCGATAGTGTTTGTGTTGGCGTGTTGATCGTTGGCTGGGGTGCTGGGAGCACACGAGCTAGCCCCCACACGCTGTCACTCCACTTTGCCTACCTGTCTCAGAGGGCAGTTTCTCAATAATACAACATCTTTCTCCAAGAGCCAAGGGTTTACCAACACTGCGCTCGGATTTACCGCCAGGCAAATCGGGTCCCATTGGCGCCATGGCAGCGCTGAACAAGCTCGTCAAGTGCCTCCGGAAAGGATGCGGCCAGGATCCGTTAGACGTCGACCAAGTGTGAGTGGCTCTCGTCAAGACGTCACCAATGCTTCAAGGCTGTTTCCACTGTTGTACTCTTATGTGTTGATGTTTTTGCAGAATGTATTCTCAGTCATGTTTTTCCACCCTGCCGCTTGTTTTTCTGTCGCACTATGTATGGCCTCAGGTATATCCCGCTTGGTAGAGGGCCGAAGACTGGGCTCATGAGGTGGTCCAAGAAAGGAGGGACCGGAAAGAACGAGAACTTCCACGGTGGCATCAACCGCCTGGTGAACGGCGTGGCTCGGCTCGGTGCGGAAGCGTGCGATGCGAGGCTGCTGCAGCGCATACATCGTCACAACCACGACATGGACCGTAAGCTTGGCCGCACCAGCAAGCAGTCTACCCTATGGGTCTGGAGGGAGCGTAAGGCGAACGCTGCAGCCGAGTCGATCCTCACGTCGCGCCCGTTCCCCCGAGCGGGTGACACTCCGACGGTGAGCGCCAGTTGTACACTCATGGGAGGACACTTTCAACGTCGAGGGAGTCTGTATTCTTAGCCTTCATTTTTTTATGTGCCGTCGGTGCCGTGAATTTTGGTACGCCCATCCCGATCCATATGACGCGAGCTCTCTGACGTTTGTGCGTCACCCTGTTGGATGACTCATTTCAGGTGGCCGCGGAGGACTTTGAGCCGATAGGGTTCGAATACGCCGAACAGAGGAGAGCCAACGCTCTGACACACGCAAAAACCGCCGCGGCGAACTCGCTAGTCAACACCCGTACTTCTCTGCCGTCGACGACGGCAGGAGATACCAGCCGGACGGGGGCCGCGGCCGTCGGGGCAGGAGCGTGGGCTCCGGCGGGGACCGCGGTGGGTGCATGTGCGAGGGTGATGCCGTTGCCGTTGACCAACAGAGGAGGTCGGCCGGGAGCGGCGGCGTTCATGCCGTCCACGATAGCGACAGGTTCTTCCGCCGGTGCGGGGGCCGTGCCGCCACTGCTGTTGCCGCCAACGGCGACAGGAAGGACTGCCGAGGGGGCGGGGGCCGTCCCGCCGCTGTTGTTGCCGTCAACGACGACAGGAGATGCTGCCGAGGGCGCTGCGGGTGCCAGTGGCGGCGGGGCGATGGGAGGTGCGACCAGCAGGACCTACCGCAGCAACGCTGGAGAAGCCGCCGCCCAGGACATCTCGCGCGGTAACTACGGGGGGGGGCGGCGTTTGCCTTCAAGGCACCCGACCCTGGAGAGGGTTAAAAGCGTTGACTCCGACAAGTGATGCAGAGCTGGAGGCCTTTGCCACCTGTCTCGCGGAAGCGACGATGGCCTGCGACGGGAAGAGCCAGGTGATGGCCGAGGCGACGAAACGTTACAACGCAAGATATTACAGACAAGCACTTACGGGTGGCGCGCCGAAACTTATCCGTGCGCCTACTACGGTAGAGAAGGCGCGAAAATGATCCAAGATAGCGGCCAAGGCAGGACGGGCCCGAGATGCCGCCGCCGACCTCGCAGCCGTGAACGAGGTATCTCGAGTCAGGACGTCCTCTGCTTCGACTTCTACTTCGACACCGCCGCCGGCATCGAAGCGCGCCAGAGGGGTTTTTCGAAAGCAACAATATTTCAGAGTACAGGTACTCTCCGTCAAGGCCTGCGACCTCGCCCGCGCCCATNCCTTCATGAAAGCCATAGGGCTGAAGTTGACAGGCAACGTTGCACTCAAGCGGAAGAAACTATTAATATTCGAATTTTTCGAAAGCAACAATATTTCAGAGTACAGGTACTCTCCGTCAAGGCCTGCGACCTCGCCCACGCCCGCTGTAGGACCCGCCAGTGGGCACATGTCAATCTGAGGGTTGGGGACTCGAAATATCTGCTGGTGTTGAGTTGTTGTAGATGTATTTATCGGCGGGGCCTGCTCTTTCTCCACCTTTGATCCAGACAATTAAGAAGTATATATTATTCCATGCGTGGACCGTCAAGGTTGATGGCTCTGTCCTCCTCTGTGCGTATTGTTGTCTGGCGTATGTGTTGGCCTCCTGCGTGGGAGACGGGATAGGTATTCCGTTCGTCTCGTCCCAAACGACCGGTACGGATGGAGTAGAACTTGTTTTCGCCACGCCGAGCACGGATGGAAGAAACAAGTACAAAAATATGATACTCGGAGTGCATATGATACGCCGACTCTATGATGATGTGGAACACTGCAAACGCACAAAGGACAAGCACATTTAGTTTTCCTCCGCTCGGCTCTCGTGGTTGGCATTACGCAGACACGCTCACTTTAGTGTACACAAACTCTAGTCAGAGAAGTGCGGGACGTAACCGTGTGCGGCAAGCAGGCGTGCCGGACTTCAAGCAAACAAGAAACGAAACAGCACACCTCGGCAGCAACATGTACAACAGCACGAACAGATCTTGCTCTGTTGCTGTATCATATGCAGAGTCCAACCAACGCAGACGCACAGCAGTACAATAGTAGAGTTCTTCTACAACCACACATCACAACACAACTCCGCTCTCGTGTAGTCTACAACTAGACTAGTCTTTACCTCACAACACAACTCCGCTCTCGTGCATTCTCAAATCACGAACAACTTGCTGCGGCTGCAGACTTGTCCAGCTCGGCCACTTGAATATGATCCACACAGCAGCAGCAGCTTCAATCGCACCCACACATACCTACTAACACCCACAGCTACACATCCTGGAATACATCACACAGCTGCCGTTGGTTATTTCCCGTCCCTTCGATATTATTACGGCGAGATTTCGCTGAAATTCAGCGATTTCGTGCGGCGAGATCAACGTGTTTTTTTTCTTGCCCCAAACTTGGGGCATGCCCCAAAATGCCCTAATGCCCCAAAATTACTTGAAAATCGGATGCACAGTGGCTCATTT